GCATGTGCTTCTCCAATCCAAGGCGATAATAGCTTCTTATTTACGGTAATTTTGAGCAGGGGCTTGAGGTGAACGCCCATGCGCTACACTCTTTCCTTGTTCGGTACCACAGCCGGGCTGTGCCCAAAGGAGCTGATCAATGTCTCCGCGTTTCCCTTTCCAACCAAGCATACCCCACTCAATTTTCGCTTCATAAGTCAAGATGTCTATGGAGGCTTGAAGAGTAGTAATCCAACTAGGCCAGCAACCTCCTCTGCACTATTAAAGCCACCATTAAAGTGCTCATTCTTCCAATAAACATGCTGCGAAGGTCTATCGTGTCTTTCGTTTGGAGGGTACAAAACGCGATACATCTCCAACCTAGAGATCGATGCGCGCTTGTCCAGCCCCTTGGTGCCACCCTACTTTTCTTCTCAGCATAGCCTCATTGACGCATTAATGGTGCAGGTGATGAGCTGACAAAGTATGCATCTCGACCAGACGCGGAGCTATTGCATTCACATAAGCTTGCAGCTCGGCCTCTGTCGCCATAACAAGCTTTGTGCCACCATAGCATTCATTGCCAAAGGGATCTTCCTGAATTCTTGTCGCACCGAATCATTTTCGAATGACCACTCGATTAGATCAAGAATATCAGATGACCATTTCACGGGAGTATGGCATCCTACTGCATCCCCAACCAGTCAATTAACGGGGAACAGCTATTTTGAATCACGCCGTGCTACCAACCGTAAGAATTCACCTCAGAACTCCATAAGGAGGCACAAGGCTCCTGACTCTATACAAATGTCCACATAACGGGAATTTATTTAAGGTCCTGTCAGGAAGCTCTGCTTCTTTCTTACCCTCTTCCCCCCAGAGTAGCGAGATGCGGGAATAGGGACAGCTAGGGCGCGCGTGGACCCACCCTGCCGAGCATTCACAGCTACCTACAACTAGCATCTAGCGCAGACTGAAACACCTTCTATTGCATCGAATTCTCGTTTCTCTGGAGTATACAAAAGATGCGGACTATCGAACCAAATGGTCTATCCTTGACCACTTCTTATTTAAATATCACTAGTGTAGTAGAAAGTGCCTCCGAATAGCTTGGCCCACAGCATGGGCCCACGGACACGGCAAACTCCCGTACAGACAGCTTACTTAGTCTTGCCTGATGAGCAGAATATTCGGGTGTATCAGTGTCACAAAAAGAATTTCCTGGCTACCTAGCTTTCCGACTGCCCCGCTACGTGAGGAGCTACCTCAGCCGGCAGGGCAACTAGCTACTACAGCGTTAAGGCAGCTGTCGGTCTTTACACTTTTGTGCAGAGCTCTTCCTGTGCTATTCCGGCGCAGCAGCCAAAGGTCCGGTTAGCTGTGCTAGAGCCTGCTCCAAATATCAGAGTGTACACAAACTTCGGACGAGGCCGCACCCTTGACCTGTGCACCTCAAGCGTAAAAAAAATCGATGCTCAATGTGGGCTTCTATTCGTTGCTAAACTCTGCTTCCGTCGCATCCGCAGCCCGAGTCGGCTGAGCAGCCCCCACGAGCAACACGCACAAGCTTTTCTTCACACCTCGTCCTTCGCGTCTTCATCTTGATCGTGCCCAGTATCCCCTCCCCCACTTCAATTCTCCGTCTGACGCCTCAGTCAGCGGTAGGGGCAGGGTAACCAGCTAGAGCGTGAACGTCGGAAAGATGCTCGCCTTCCCTCAAGAAGCAACCAGTCCGCTCTACGTCTCCTACAGAACGGCCTTCAGCTCTTACTGCTTCGGTTTCTACTTCTGCAATGAGAGGAGAGGATTACAGAAAAGCCCTTACCTGTGTACTACGTGATGTCCTGAGGTGGCTTCTCTGCTGTATGCGATTGCTTCAGTCATTCTTGCGTTAAGATTTCGGCGGTCAGCGCCATATCCGCATCCACTGCCCTCACATTCTTTGGTTTGGTTGATGCTCTTGTCTCACTGCCTGCTGCTGCTCCACCTGCAGATGCTGCCCTTCCGACACTCCTCCTCCCGATTCAGCAGGGACTACAGGGGCCCCGATTCCCGAAGAAACCTCATTGGCGGCAGATTGACTGGCGTTTTTTTCTTCAACCTTGGGATCTGATCTAGGGGCATTCCTTTTGAGTGCTCGGAGTCTGGGATTGGCCTTTTCCTTCTTCTCTGCTGTGGCTTCTGGCGTCTGATCAGCGGCTTGAATCGCTTTTGGCTGCTCACTTTTTTCTTTAAGTATGAGAAAAGCGCTAGCAGGAACCTCTCCCAATTCAATCCGGTTTTGTGCTTCAGCATATTCCCTTTGAAAGGAGAGAGATGTCCCCGCTAGGCAGCCTCTGGAGAGTGCATAAAGAGAGCTCAGCTGCAGCTGAACTCGAGCCAGTATCCGCCGCACGAGGGCTCTTGCGTGCGCATACGGCGCCTGAGGAGGACTGAAGCCCAAGTTCTGTGCCATTAATCTAAGGGTCCCCCCGTCTTCCTCATCAAACACAAGAGGTCGTGCAGGATAGCTCGGCAACTCAGAGAGAGAAGTGGATACAGGTGCATACATGCCACCGGGGAAAACTTCTTCCAAGAAATTCCAGACGTAGCGGCATGCATCTAGCTGTAACGCAAAGAGCTGAAGGACCCGAGGGAGCACGTGCCTAGTGAAGAACAACAAGCCCCTCTTATTCTTTTGAAAGCGGTCACCATATGTTAAGTAGCGTGCAACGGTGGCTAGATAACCATTCACCAGTTCCGCTGTATTTCTGCTTAACGAGTCCAATCCCCCCACAATCGAGACGGGGAGCACCTGGCCCCCGCCCGCTCCCCGCAATGCCTTGAGATGCTCACGAAAATCTGAATACAGCTCCACTAAGTCCGCAGGTGCACCCTGCAAATTCTTGTCAGGCCTTTGCTCCATATAGGCCTCCAGCATCCTGAACAACACACAATGAGGGCCACAGAGACGCGGATGCACAGTACGAGAGCATGCTGTAGCAGCTAGCAAACCCGAGCAGGGGCTGAGAGCGAGAGTCTGGGCTCAGGAGATGATGGCGCTACCCGTGTACAAACAACCCTCTTCGCACACAAATGGGAGCTAACTTGACTCTAACTGCGGCACAGAAGTAGAAGGAAAGGCGGAGGCGATATAAAGCCTTACTTTTTGGTGGGTGGATAGTTGGTAACGACATTCAGGGCCTTCCTATCGTCCTCTGGATCCTTGCATGCATCCCTCTCCACTGCAAATTGGAGCAGAGGCAGCTGAGACGCCAAGAGGAGATAAGCGGCGTTGCGTACCCCGCGCTTATCATCACCTGAAAGACCTAGGAAGTCCCTAAGCAGACCAAGATGCTCATGTAGAGGAACCCAAACAGCCTCTCTGCCATTGTTTGAGGCTAGGGTGGTGGAGAATGCTCCCGCAGCCTTGCGTCCAAAGTCAGAAAGCGTAGCTAAGGTGCCTCCACCCCCGGAAAAGTCGGAAGAACCTGATGATCCATCCCCTGAAGAGAACAGAAACTGGCCTACAGTGGGTGCCACAGAGGAAATTACAGAGGCCAGCTGCTCCACGAAGGCCAGACTAGTAGAGGGGGCCGGCATTGACATCTCCGGGGAGGCCCTAGCGGAGTCTCCCACGATTGCCTTCATACCCTCTATGCCGACATCGGATGACACATTGTGGATACATGAGCAAAGCACTAAAAGTACGGCAGGAGCCACTGCACGGCGGGGGCTGCCCCCCTCGCCTCTTGCCATTGCCTGACCTTCTTTGAGGAACTACAGCCGAATCAAGGCTACAAGGTAGAGGAACGCGGGTTCGATATCCCATAAACCGCGTGGAGCGAGGGCTTATGCTGCCGCAGCAAGCGAAACTCCTCCCACCCCTCTGCAGGGGAAAGCGAGTCAATCCGCAGCACGAGTCCTACAAGACTCTTCCTACGCTGCCTCCGTACTTCTTCTAGTTATATGCATAGGAGGGAAAAGACCAACTAATCTAACCAAGGAACGGAAGAGGAACCGGTGATGGCTTAAATTGGGGGGAACTCTGTCGTAAGCAATGGATGCAGCGACAGCGGCCCCGCAGGACAGGATGCAGGTTCCGTCCCTAGGAAAGAGCGTGGGAAACAATATTTAAACTAAGGGCACAGGACACAGTTTTCCTATGCCCAATGCAAATCATAGTAGAACAGGAAGATATAGAGTGTCCGCCAAGGAGACAGGTGGGACCTGATAGAGGACTCCGAATCTACTAGGCGTCCTCTGCGAAACGTGCACATAGCGCAAAGTTGTCGGCCTAGAATTGGCCTCTAAGAGAAGGAGTGAAATCAATCTGGAGAAGTTATTGGCTTCAAAGGGACTGTAATGGAAAGAAATGAGGTTACACGCAAAACCTGTAAAATACACCTTACTAGGGAACGCTATACAAAGGCCATCACAGCTATGCTTTGCATTCAGTTTATACTTTAGTATTTATTGACTGTATGGCTAACTGAGAGAAGGATTAGATTCATACATTAAGAGTGAATGCTGTATGGATGTGCGTCATTCGATTGTATGCATGGTATATGCGAATGCCGGATGTAACCCTAGGGTGAAGTTCCTTGCACCCCGGCAGTCGCTCCCCCTTCCAGGCAAGAAGCCTGTGGGATGGAATGGGGATGGGAGAATTCATCTAAGAGAGCACTGCCTTTGTAGCGGGTTGCGCTGCACGTATACACTTTATACTACGCTGCATATATGTTATTTAAAATTGGTGAAGAATCGACGCTTATTGCTTGGACTGTTCGCAGCACAAATTATTCTTTGTGTGTGTCTGTGCACTTGATGCTAGGTAAAACTAGTTGTGAATGCTCGAAATGCTTATAGCGTACAGGAGAACGCACTCCAGCTGTCTCTACCCGCTCCTGTTGGAAACCTGAGGGGTATGAGCAAGAGAACACCAGACTTCTCTAGAAAAGCACCCAACTGCTTTTACAAAGAAGGATTTGAGTCTGGCGCTAAGGGGCGCTTCACGGAGGCAGTAGGTGGATCAGTGAAATTGGTACAACCGGATGGTTTGAAGCAGAGGTTCCCAGCCCCTACGCTGGCTGTCGATGCAGCAAGATGTTATTTGTTCCAGACTTGGAAAAAGCCAAATACAAAGCCATCAAGTCTTCTTCGAAAAAACTTCCATCTTAAGCTGATAACGTCCCTCAGAGTTTTCTGCATGAAGGGAGAACAATCGCTGGCCTGCGCGTAACTGCCCTCTCTCGGCACTCCAAGTGTTTGCATCTAGCTTAACGCAGCATCTACCGCATATGCTCACACCATTGTGTATGCTTATATAGAGCTAGCAGTATCGTGCAACGAATTAGAACACAAACCAATTGGCCAGTTGCTTACTATTTCAACGCTAAACTATAACAGTGTACTAGAAGGTGTTTAGTTTTAGGGTGGACTGCTGCACTTTCTCCCCTCATTTCAGCACATACGCCCCTGTGCTCTTTACACACCCACCAAGACCGAAATCCTGCGAGAAAGCAAAAGAGTTTCTGCCCTATTGACACTCTCCAAGCAGCCGAAAGCACAAAATACAGTGCGCGTCGGAGAGGTGCAGAGTGCATCAATCGCTAAAGTGAAGCTTATTGGAGTAAAGGCACACGCTATCCTAAATGGATGGGGATCGTACCAACACGACCGCGGAGGCGTGAGGGCTTCTTGACAGTAGAGCACTCGAATGTGTGAATCGCTAGCGACGAGAAAACGAAACAAAGAAAATTAGAATGCATAGGAGAAATCAAAGCACACACTGGTGCAGCAGCGCCTCCGCACATCACAGAGTAACTTCTGCATGCATACTAAAAGGCAAAAACGAATAACAGTTCAATTTGTCCTGGGGCGCTCTCAGATATATCGTTCCTTCATTTTTTCATGTGCCTATTTTGGGGCTTTGGCGTTGACCACGCTGCATACATTGGGTGTAGGGGGTTTCCGGAACTATGCATGCGCTCAGGAAAAAGCAAATACCAAGAATCGCGAAAATTATCCTGTGGCGTTTAGCCTTGTGAACCAAGCACAGTCGCGAACTCTCCCGCTGGCAACGAAGTCCGAAAGAATCCCTCCTTCAATCACTGCGGTTGCTGTCGTCCTGCACATTTTTCTCTAGAGACTCCCCTCTACTCGCTGCGATTACAAGTTCTAAAATCAAGTAGGTCCAGTATCCTTATGGCTCCCTGTGAACCCTCCGCCTCCACACAAGTCGCGTTCCTGCGCTTCACTCCGCAACTCGTCGAAAATTTCCAAGCTTCTTACGAAGCCAACACTTGTAGGCTTGTGGGACATCCAACCTTTTAGGTAATTGATAGTCAAAAAGAGCACCGATTTGCGAGCAAGCTACGGATGCTCCTAGCCCTTTGGTGGCAAACATCTTTATCTGGTCACCTTCTGGTGTGCCTGGTTAAGCACGCCGATCGGCCTTCACCAAATATCCCGGCTCACCACTCACACCTTGCCAACGATAGCCATAATTCCATGCTTATCTCTCTGAAGCTTTGTGCATTCATTTGCGTACACCACCCAGCTGCTCTCGAATCCCTCCGCTGTCAAGAGCGCTTGCTGACCCTGCATCGTCCGGTCCAAGCCAGGATAAAGAGGAAATTTTCCAGAGCAGACCTGGGATTCGAAGGAGCACAGGGTAGGCAGTGCTGTTGTATCACAAGCCTACTTAGCACATGGTAGAGAAGCAAGCCAAAGAGCTAGAATTTTGTGAGTAGTGAGTAGCAAATAACGCGTTTGAGTGCGGTTGGTGCACTCTTTCTGTCCGTCTGCCTCATGGAGGCTCGCAGTGACCATGTAATGGCCAATGTGTAGGCCGGTCGTGAAGACGCGCCAGAACGCACTGAATGCCTTTGGGTCCCTTTCAGAAACGCTAGTCCTCAAAAATCCACAAAGCTTCCAGATGCAGCTTAATAGCGATTGAGCGCCTTCCTGAGCCTCGATATTGCTGGATCAAAGGACGAAATGGCATATTTGCTGGCTCTGTGGAGAATGGCATTGATAGTAGCCTGACCGATGACCTCAGGCTGCCTAGCAAACGCTTCCATACCCAGATATGTGCAACGCCTTTCAGGATGCGAAAGGCTTCGCAAAAGGCTGCGCTTATTAGAGCTCATGGCCTCAGGTGCTGACAATCTGAGCATGACAGTGCACAATCCTCTGCAGCGGGACCCATTTCTGGCCACCAAATGGGTTGCTAGAGCTTTTCCATTGTAAAGTGCATCATTATGACCTCAGTAGGCATGGTCATGTGCTTTTCACGAAACACTATTGCGGACTGGAGCCAGAGTGTACAGGCGACGAAGTCCCCGCTTCAAACTGAAGCACAGCAGACCATCCTCAACGTCGTACTTCACCCCTTCTCGGATGCAGGGGTGTCAAAAACTTTAGACCTGCTCAACGTGGCCGACGCCTTGAATACCCATATAAAGTAGCTGTTGCGCTGCACATCAGTGAGTTACTGTGGTGCTGTGAGAGCGCATCGGGAAAAGGTTGGTAATGCCCTTAACAACTTTACTGGAAAGCCGTGCTGCAGGGGGCGCCCAGGCAGCCCACCAGCTCATGGACTATCAAGCTCTGTAAGCTCTTCATAAGTTGCATTAATGCCTATTGGTTGACTCGGACAGTATGAAGTGCGGCCATTTTCCACGCCCCATCTCACCCCATGAAAGTATTCTCCTTCACTTGATATCTCTGCTCGGTGTCGGTGAAGCGATCAAAATTTAATCAACGTTTTGATTATTCAAGATGGTCACACCCTGTTAGGAGGGAATAACATCCACCGCTACCTCACTAGGTCGGCTGTTAGGGAGACGATACTCAGGCAGCGCGAGCACCAGAGGGTCTCTAAGGGGTCTGGCCAGCCTCCTTGATGCGGCATCCGCCGCTACTAGCCTGATCGCACGGTGCCTTTTTCTTAGGATGATAGGTTAGTGGGGCAGCGTTCCAAGCAAATCCACGAATGGTATCTCCATAATAAGAGGCAACTCCAGAGAATGTAGCAAAGCCCTTGCGAGTGCGCCATGCGAAGGGCCATGTTTAGCTGCTTCAGGATTGCCGGATCCGAATCGATTCATATAAACAAAACAAACTATTAAAGGAAGACACCTGTTCTCATGGAAAAGAACGCTTGCTTGCATTCGCATGCACTCCTTTCCCGCAACAGCTGAAGCGCGTGGCGTAGGTGCTGTAACTTCTCTTGAATATCTCGGCTTAAGAAAAGGCGTCGTCCCCTGCAGACAGCCATCCACCTCTCTTGGAGAATCTCATTAGCATTCGCAGCATTATGCCGTTAAGACTCAGATGAGACATTCTGCAACCGGCATGCAGGCATACTCTATTTTGAGAAGCTATGTAGAGCGCCGTTTCATCCCTGTGATAAGGCTTAATGGGGTTTTTCAAAGCAGGGGCTGTGAAGTCACATTTCGAAGAGACTGTTGGTGCGCGTAGTTTGGCATGTGCTTCTCCAATCCAAGGCGATAATAGCTTCTTATTTACGGTAATTTTGAGCAGGGGCTTGAGGTGAACGCCCATGCGCTACACTCTTTCCTTGTTCGGTACCACAGCCGGGCTGTGCCCAAGGGAGCTAATCAATGTCTCCGCGTTTCCCTTTCCAACCAAGCATACCCCACTCAATTTTCCCTTCATAATATTTTGTCTTCCCAGATCGTGGAATCTAGGCTGGGGGTGCCTCGGGGAATAGCGTAATGGTGTGCGCTGGGCGACCAGCAGATGGTCAGCCTAATGGTTGCTCGTCATTATTTAGCACCTCCGCAACCTGCCCTTGATTTTCTGCCTAAGCCTGCTGTTCATCAGCCAAACGTTCAACAGCATGTCCTGTGAAGAACAGACATTTGATGGCACGCATACACAGAAACGTCTTTCCTCGCTGCTCCGCAGAGCTGCACGCACGAAGATTTTGCCATTCTTTGTTCAGGTACCGCCTCTATCCTGCTCTCCATAGATGATACAAGCGTTGTTGAAGAGACCAGGAGTTGCTTTTTCTAAGCACCTTCCGGTGTACTAATCTCTACAGCGCGCAGCAATAGCCGCATATGCGCCTTCCATTGGGTCTTACATGGCATACCGAGGCTCGCGTCGCGGCCCACGAGTCCAACGCAGAAGCTACGAACCGTGCTAACAGGACCCCATTCCGATTGGAACTAGAACCCAACTGCAGGAAACTTACCATTCCTTCCATTCTGCCATCCCTCAGCGGTCCTAAGTGTTAGGGACTGCGCTTACGTGAACAGATGCAGATTTGAACTTATACGCCATCTCCTCAGATGACGGCTTCACATCTGAGCTAAGTAACACTAGCAATTCACGTCCACTATTGTGAGCTTGCATCAGTGCGAAATTAGCTTGCGGTGGACTCCCAGCTGCGGATATGTCGTCCGTAGCCGCTTTCACTGCGCCACAGCCTGTTAGGGGGACGTCCCTTTCCCTGGTGCGTCATCTTTGTTCGCCAGCAGCATGCTTCTGCTGGGCGTAGTCCCATCGTTCAAGTTCGTCGGATTTTTGTGTGTGCATTAACCTCCGGGCTATGTATATGAATGGCTCACGATAGAAGCAGATACGTTGTTGTGGGGCTGAGTTTCCCTTGCTCCAGCCTTCTCAGGTCTCCCAAAGCTTCCTGTTGAGCAAATGTCTGTCTCGGCATAAACGCATGGGCCAAAGAGCTTATGAAAGCGTGAAGGGTAGTAATCCCCGCAGACAAAAAACTTGCTTTTAATCAGTAGGATCATCAGTAGAGTGCTTATCCCTCCAATCAACGTGCCGCGAAGGGCTCTCGTATTCTTCATCTGGAGGGCACTGAGCGCGATACAGCTCCAACAAGCTAATTACATCTTTGCGCGCACGTCCATCCTTGCTGCCACCCTACTTTTTTTCTCAACAAAACCTCTTCGACGCTCTGATAGGCATTTGATGAGCTGAGAGGGCATGCGTTCCTACCAGATGCGAAGCTATTGCATCCACACAAGCTTGCAGCCCGGCCTCTCCCGCCCTAACGGGCCAGGCAATTGAATTTACGGGGAGCTGCCGCTTGAGCCATGCGGTGCTACCATAATGTAAGGTTCCATCCAGACTAATAATAAGACACATGATTTCAGACTCAATACAAGTATCACATAATAGGAAGTTACTTGAGGTTTTTTCAAAGCATTCTTCTGTTTTCTTGCCCTCTTCCTCCATTGTGCAGTGATGGGAAAGGGGGGACAGCTAGGGCGCGTGTGGATCGACTTTGTCAAGCACTCATAACTTGTGCATGAGGGGGGGTCCAGCTGCTTAAAACTATGTGATGCTACCAACTGTAACGCTTTACCCACAAACGCTGTACGGAGACATTACTCCGGACTCTATCCAAACCTAACTAAAATTCTGGAATGTTTTACAACAGATCTGCCGTCTCCCCCTGTCAGTGCTCGTTAGCGCTCCCAATGTATGGTATAGGGATAGCTAGAGTGGGCAACAGGAAAAATCATTGCATCTTCCTGCATCGAGAAAATGCCGAATACGCCATTTGTCGGTTCCCCATTAATTCCTAGACAAATACAACTTGTAGCAGGCTACACTGGGGAGAGGGGCTTTTGGCCACGCTAGTTGCATTTAATCAAAAATCGGTAAAGAAGGGATTAATTGATTTACGTGTTCGTATGTACTGATTCTTGCAGAGAAGTGTTAGCTCAACAAAAAAAGACGCAGTGTTGTGTGCATGTGCGCTAGATGCAATGTGAATCTGGCTGTGAATGTTCAGAGTGATTCGAGGGTACAGTTACGTGCTCTCTAGCTTTACGTATTCCTTATAAAACCTTTGGACTAGAACTGCCAGCGCGCTATCCGTTTCCGCCACACAAGTCTTTGGTTCGTTCGCTCCTGCCGGCCAGCAAATCATGGAGGCTCTAATGGGAGTGTGTAAGAAAGCGGAAGGCTTCCTGAGAAACACTTAAACTCTTTCCATTGACGCTGTATGGAGTGCCTTATTAAGTTGGCCTTGGATGGAGCGCTACACAGCCCGCTACACCGCTACCCTTGGGGTGGGTAAGGTAATTTGGCGATTACATGCAGGCGGCTGAGGTTTACTTAGGCCACTAGTTGCTTCCATCTGGTGCCTGCCATTACAGTGTACAAATACGATTCCTATTGGGATGCCATCACCATGCCAGTAAAACCAATCAAATCGAGTCGCGTCAGCTAGTGTATCGTTTTAGTTGTTTTTGTTCTCTGAGACGCTCAAGAAGTTGAGAGCTAAGAGCATCTTCTTTCGCCAAAAAAATCACGGAGGACCTGAGAATATATGTGAGCACTGCTTCGTTTCTTCGGTCTCGTGGCAGCCGCCTGGGGCTGGCGACAGACACTCAGCAAGCTGTCGCTGAGGGAAAGCGTTTGGCTATTACGCCGGGATTTTTTCCTCTTAGGGGCTTTTTTAAAAGCTCTATGATAGTAAAATAATGATATATAATTGGAACGCAAGTGTTTTCTCGGTTCTGGGGTTTCCAGCTGATTTCAGCTCTAACGGCTTAGATGGGCCCGTCAGTCAGCTGCTGGGTTCCGTCTTCGCAGTCATATGCATCTTGATGTCTATTTCTATGATATATCCAGAGGGTGACAAAGTTTGGTACTTGAGTTGTATATTTAAAGCTCGAATGTATTTCCGCTGGTTCTAAGCAAGCGGGGGCATTTTTTTCGTATGCTGCTGAGCAACAGAAGCCGTGGGCGGTGCTTGGCTTCCATCTCGTGTTTCCCGCACTTCTTTTTTGCGAGTACAGAGTATACTTGCCACTTTATAAGTGTCTTCTCTCAGATGCAAGGTAATAATTTCAGACACTTGTTGAGACTCTTCCCCGTCGTCGTGTGTATGTCCCTCCCTCCCCTTCTTTCCGTGCGTGTGTGTCTTAAACACTGCTATGCGCTGCTTTTCCCCGGCCGCATTTCTTCAGTGCCGCGCAAGTAGCTGCATGCTTTTGTATTGGGGCTGGAGCAGCCCACTTTCACAGCTAAACATGGAGTGCTCCTGAGGATGCACAATGCACGGATGGGGCTCTATTCGAGCCAATTGTTATTACGAGCGCGACCAAACCACCTCGATATTCACTTATCATATCGCGTTCCACGATCCTTTGTCCAGAGCTCTACCCCTTTTCGGGAGCAAACTGCTGGCCAATCCTTCCAGGACTTCTGTGCCGGAACCCGAGCTGCCCTTTTGCACACACCGGCCCCTCGGAAACTCTTGAGACTTCCACAGCTCAGCCGCAAGGTGTTTTCCATGAGAAGATGGCCGCAGCTGCTGTAACACTAAGTGAGTGCAATAGCAGCACCACTACCAACCGCTCCGAAGATGCGTACCGCGTCTCTACCCCAGAAACCTCCGCGGTGCACGGTGTGGAGGACCCCGCACCCAGGAGGAGACCATCTTATAGCGGGGAGCAGGCGTCGGAGGCCAGTTCTGGCACGTTCCTGCAGCAAAAGGACATTTCCGAGAGGGCTGCCCCTGTTCATTTCCTTAAGTCCCCGTATGCCGCTGCGCAGCTGGGAGGGAACCTCTGCCACTCTACAACGTGCGGGATCGAGTCTTCCCATCTTGAAGGCTCCCGGAGGCCAAAGATCCAGTACAACTGGAGCAATACTGGTATCAACGAGCCGGAGCCGTGCATGCATCAGGACTTGCGGCGGGTGGTCGCTTCTCTCCTTGCAGCTCACAAGGTGCAGGCAGAGGAACTCAAGCGTCTATGTTACCACTGGAGAGCCCAACATCGGGCACTACAGGGGAAAGTTTGCAGACTGAAGTCGCAACTACGGCGGCATAGCGCTCTTTTGGCCTCGTTGGTGGGGTATATCCGCAAAGAAGGTCCTGGGGAGGGCCCCCAGTGGACAATGCTGGAGGCCTGCTTAGCTCGGCTGCAAGGTGATAGTGGTGAGCTGCTGTGCAGCAGCGCAGAGGAGGCAGTAACAGCAGACGAAACAGGTTGGGAGGCAAGTTATTTTTTGTCTGACTCTCCGAGTCTCTGGATTTCAAAGCTTGTTCACTGGTGCGACCGCATTGATGGACTCCCCATTGCCTCTCTAGGACCTGCGAACTCGCTGCAAAGTGAGCCCTCCCACCGCGATGCGGGTGGCAACAGGTCCTCGGTACCAGCAGTTGCTTATGAGCGTCTTCGTGGCCGATATAGGCGCGATAGCGAGTCAAATGAACTCAGCAGCTGCGAGGGGCAAGGCCTGCGGGTGCACCTACTGAGTTCAGAGCGTGGATCCCTTAGTGCCGCGGCTTTGCGCGATGCAGAGCGATTCAAAGACTTTATTGAGGGTGCATCTCTGCGCCAAGAGGCCTGGCTGGAGACATTCTCCTCGTTCGCAGCCACTGCAGCACCGGTGGCTTCGCTTTCAGCTGCAAAATCATTGTCGCTTGAATTGCTGGATGAGGCAGTAACTCTCCTGGCATCAGATCTATTGCTACTGGTAGCGGAAGCCTTGGAGCCCGAGCAATCTTTGAAAGCAGCTTCGATAAGACAGGGAATGCGCGTCCTATGCCTTCTAGAGCGTTCAGCAGCTGCCAGGTGCAACATTAAGTCGGGCAGGCTCCGCAAGGGAACATCCATGAAGGTTTTTGCCTTTGAGCCGTTCGCAGTGTGCGTACAGCCCAACTGCGAAAACACAGACGACAGCAGGTGCACAAAGCTCACTATCCCTGTTTGCTCCTTGCAGGGCCTCAAACTTACCCAGACGAGTGCCTCCCAAGACCAGTGGAGCAGTGCCTTCTCGGCTTCCGACAGAGAAGACTCCCGGGAGACAACCCGGACGGGCGGGGGCCCAGCAAGTAGCAGCAGCAACAGTATAAGCAGTGACAGCAGCAATGGTAACGGCAGCAATCGGAGTAACCCAGACGCTGAATTGCGGAGTGGCAGCAGCGAGGGTAGGACTGGTGAAGCCCCCTGCCGCGGCACGGCTGACGGCACTCCTGGGCCTCTGCCAACCGGAGAGGGTCTGCAGAAGAGACAACGAACTGTGAAGGCTGAAAAAAGTACTAAAGAGCGCCAGGACGGCACTACCCATCCTGGTGCCGGGCCGAAACTGTTATCCTCCGGTGCATTTGGACGTGGGCAGGAGCAGTTGCAGACTTGCACCAGGGACAGCAGCTGTCCCAGCAATCAGCCCTCCGAAGGCTCCCAGACCCTTGTTGGCAACAGCAGCAGCAGGACTACTGTGTCCTTACAGCTTGGGCACGACCACAGCTGCCGTTTGAACCGGTCTGAAGGCAGTGCGAGGGCCTCAGGCGGGCCCTGTTCTCCTGGGGCCTCGAGGGCCCCGGTGACATGGGAGTCCACTGCTACAGCAAATAGGGATGAAATAAAGGCGAAGGAAAAGCTGAGCCAAGAGGCAGGCGTATCTGAAAGGCGAGGGGCCTCTGGAATCAGCGAAGGCGCTCGTAGTTCCAATGTTCAAGCCGTCGATGGAGCCCCTTGTAGCCCAAAGGGGCACTGTGGGGCTCCTGCATCGGAAGGGAATAGCAGTCGCTCAGGAGCTGTGGTTTCTGTGCGCTGCTCCGGGCAAGCGGCTCAACAGCAACTAGAGCGCATGCAGCAGCAGCTGCCACGAGTTCGTGCTGCAGTTCCAAAGTCAGTGCGACAGCAGCTTCCGGCCTTTGGATGCCAGGAATGTACAAGTTTTTTTGATATGATGGGGAAAATCAGGGGGTGTCCTGGGGCTCCTAAAGGTTGCTCTCACTATAGAGATAAGGGAATACATGCTGCTAAGGCACCTGAATCCGACGACGAGCTGCGTGTCGAGAGACTAAGAGCTCCGACTATCTCCGAGCCACAACAGCAACGCATTACCTCGAGACACCGGCAATTGGCGCCGCCACCCTCCACCCCTCCGGGCTACTGGGATCTCTGACTTGCAGACTGAGGCTACGAGCGACAAGAATAAGTGCTCCCAACGAGGATAAGGTGAGAGGGTGGTGCGTGCAGCAGCAGGCACTGGCGCATCTACCCCGTCCCTTGCCCGCTTCAGCCTGCGGGGTCAACAGCTCCAGCAATATGGGTCAGGAGCTGCTGCGCAGTTTTGTCGAGAGTGGAGTGGGTTGGTCTTGCTTTGAGGTTTCCTGTCTGGCAGAGGGAATTCCAGGGAGAGGTTGGTAGGCGTAGCCTGGCCGCTGCAGGGTTCCTTCTGCTTTATGTGCCAGATCTCCTGGCATTTTCGTGCATGTATTTTAGTCGATTGCCTGGATTTTTACGGCAGTCATGGTTTACAAAGGGTTACATGCCGATGCGTCTGTTTCTCGCGGGTGCAGTTCACGGGGGCCCGAGTCGGTCTTTGAATAACAACCCAACTGGAAGGGAAGCAAACTGCCGCCTACTTCTGTTGTCAAAGCTTGTCATCAGTGAGTAGCATAAGCATACGGAACAAAATAGGAACCTGCCAAAGGGCAGTAAGCACTGAGGCGTTAGTTGGATCTTCATGATTTAGTAATCGGTCTCATTCTCCTGTAAAGTGTTCTGTCCTGCACTTACTAATCCCCGTTTTCTGCAAATCCACTACTGCGGGAAGCCGCTAACTCGGCAGGAGTTTCGCAAGCGCACTGTGGTCGTTGCTTTACAGTACACTCAAAACCGTTTCTCGCATCTCTTATAGGGGTTCCTGGCAGCCTACGAGATCTCTCGTTTCTCGCTCAACTCCATTACCGAGTAAACCTTCTTAAGGTGCAAGTAAAGGCGTCCTATCTCTGGGAGGATACTAATCTAGCATTAACGGGACCAGTTCCGTAGTTTTCAGCGCACCAGCTGCCTACAGAAGACAGCGTGGCATGAAACCCCTAAAATAACTAGCACTTCGGGATGCCATCTCGAACACTTCGTGCTGGTGCCTGCCAAGCAAAAGAGAATGCAAACGACGGTAGAATTTTGTGGCGAATGGGCGAGGTAGTGAAAGCGAGCTGGAAAAGCATGAAGTGGTGCAATGTCTGGCGCACCACTGTTCGCATCCTCTAGGCTCCACGGTGCTGCTGCACAGGGCCGCACGTGTACACTGTATAAGCAGTTCAGCCTGGGGGGTAGCCTCCAACCATCATGCGCCTTTTTGGCTCATGCAGGTCTGACTGAAACGCATATGGCCTCTACTAACATGGGCGAAGTGTGTGCGCAGCGGCGGGCCCCTGGACACGCCTTGCTGAGGGTCGCGATCCGTGTATGCCAATAAGTACAGGTTTGGTGGTAGAGTGAGGGTGCAATGGCTAATTCTGCTGCTTTCAGACAGCAGTAACGTCAAAGGACAATGTGCGCGCTACCTCGAGCTCACTGTTTCCTGAGTCAAGCTGCTTTTTGAGTGAGGGAGTAGTGCCTTAGGGCCTCTAAATGAGGGCCCTGCTGCGTAGCGGTGGGGCAAGAAGAGTCTGGCTATCTAATCCGCAGTTTGCTAATACCTGGGAAATTGCAAGTTTCGGTGGTCTTAGTATGTCAGCATGCCACCATCAGGCAAAGATACATCGCCCGTGGGAGGCGGGGAAATGCGCCAAATGCAAGCTGCCCCCTGACCTGAACACTTCGGGTCACAAAACCTGTACATGTCTTGCCACAAAGATACTTGTTAATAAGCTGCGAATGCTGCAGCCGGTAGAGCTGCAGCATTCGCAGCAGAATTACACTCGATGCTGTATTCCTAGATAGCAATTCTTGGGAACCCGTGACAGGTGCACTCCGTGGCTATCACTCATGACCTTCCTGGAATTCGGCTGCAGCACAAAGTGCAGCTAGTGCCGAGTTGTAGGGTAGAACTGCGGAAGAAGCTTGTTGAGAATGGAAGTAGGGGGTTACGGAAAGCCATACATGGCAGTCGCGGCTGGGATAATCAGCACGAGGCTGGCTAGAGTTGAGTGTGCAGCGGCGCTTGGCCAGGGCCACCATCTCCTCGTTGTGGTAGAGTACGTCGATGTCGTCGTGATGCTGGCGCCTCCACCGCCCTCCTCGCTGTCTTCCTCATTGGCAGAGCCGCTGCTACTACTGGTACCTTCCGCCGAGCCGGTCCACTCGGTTGAGGTCGCTGCATGTGTTCAATTCGCGCAGCAATGTGCATAACTGTCTCTTGTTGTAAACGAGCAAGATAGTGTGAAGGGGAGTGTGTGTCCGTGTATCCATGTGTGTGCGTGTGTGTGCGTCCATGTGTCCATGTATGTGCGTGTGTGTGTGTGCGCCGGTGTCTTCGCGCGATGAATGTGCACTTGAAGTTAGGCCATCGGCTCAGTATGTTCCTTGAGCAACGGCTGCCATGGACATACCAAGTGTCCCTGTTGTGGTAGTGGTGGTTACAATCGTCTGACAGTGTTGTCCACTCCTTTGATAGACCTTGATGGACTTAATATCCCAGTAAGCTTCCCTAAAGGCAGAGGGGTTTTCCCTAACATATTTTTCGCAGTCCGTTAGACCGTTGCCAGGGCATCCCTGGGCTTCGCTGAAGGTGTATCCTGCATACCCGCCGCAGAATGTAGTGTTGATGACGATACGCTGCTCCCCAAAGTATTGATCTCCCTTGCAGTTGCTCCCTAGGGTGAAATAGGCTAGGGGCTTCTGATTCCAAAAATCCGGGGTGGGAGTCCCACTAGTCAGATCCAAGGGTGCCTCCTGCCGCGTGAAGAACCATATACGAATATACTTTGAGTGGTGCAGCTGCATCACATAGAGGCCCCCTCCTTTACGGTTCAGGGGAGCTCCGTAAGCATCCTCATACGACTCGATAGAGCAGCCAACGTTGTCAGACGTCGCCAGGTCCCAGCAATCTATGGCTTGGCCATGGACGGTCTCAGTCCATCTACCGTTGAACTCATCTGTGCTGGAGGGCATGACGCAGCCTTTCTTTGTATGCACAGCAGCATGCGCATGCTCTTGCAGGTTGGCACCTTCTATAATGTCAATTTCCCCAGTGTCTGGCCAGGGATCCCACCCCACTGTCCACCAGGCTGGCCACGTCCCGCACCCAGTAGGCATATGATTCAAATCCAGGACCCACAGGGCCTAAAGCCGCACAGGCATCAGACAGCATTAGCGCAGATCACGCCACGCGCAGCTAGTTGGAAATTCTTGGGATTGCGTGGATGCTGTCAGGGTTTGAAATCAGCCCGTCGCAACTGGAGAGGGGCGCCAGAGAACAGCATTGGCAGAGATGGCTAGGAACAAGGAAACGAGACAGCAGGCAAAGTAATAGGTGCAGAATAAGCCGTGCGTGAAACCATTCCCCATCAACGTAGGGCTCCGTGTGCTTTCCTAAAAATACTAGACTACATGTCGGATAGTTGGAAAGCAGGCCTTTCAGCTTTGGGGGATCTGCATAGCGGCTCATGTACTCACATCTCTCCAAGCCTTCTGGGATGTAAGACGGACGGATTTGCGTCCCTTTCCATTGGCAAGGACCTCGGTGGTGTCTGTGAGGAGCTGGATCCGGCCGTCGGACATGGTCTTAATCAGATTGTACTTTTGCGCATCTGCCTTGCCCACGTATTCCACTGTACCTCCGGTGGGGTCTCCCCATTCGAAGAAAAAGAATTTTGAGGGCTCCCAGAAGTCGTCGCCCTTGAATATGTCAGACAGAGTGTAGCTGTCAGAACACTCCTGAATGCTTTTTTGAGTCACTGCAGCAGCCTTACTGGCTGCCAGCTTTTTCCTCGTTAGGTCCCTTATGGCGCTTAAAGGGGTCGAGGACAAGGAATATCCCCTTCTGGGGACTCCCGCAGAGGGAATCGAAACAAGTAACTCCCCTGGTATTCGACAGGCCGCCTTCGCAGCGATTGCACCTCTGAATTCCTCTAAGACAGCAGCCTCACAAAGAGGTGTTCCCTTCTCCACATAGACGTGCTCGCAGTAGGCTGTCGATGGAACAAAGGTTAAACGAGCACAATCCCGATGCTCAAGACATTTATATTGGCATTCTTTCGCTGTTGCCGCCTTCACTGGCACCCCACCGGCGTATCTCTTGTGCAAAACGAAACAGCCAGCTGCTGCGAGTTCACATGGATCTGCTCTCCCCTCCACTTCTCCGGAAGGGGGAACGTCGGGCTGGGATTGTGGCATAGGCAGGGCTGCAGCTCTCTCAACTCGACTTGTGAAGCCGCTCTCCAGTGTTGAGGGATTCTCAGACTTTACATTATCTTGATACTCTTTCCTTGCTTCAAGTCCTGCCTTCTGCCCCCCATCCTCGCTCGTTGATGCCTCAGGGGCGCCGGCAGTCACCTCGTGCTGCTCCCTTGTCGGCTGAGCAGATTTCCAAGCTGCGGCGTTGGTGTTTTCGTCAGCCGATGTTCCCTCCTGCGCTTTTGCGGAGAATGCATATCCCACTTCTTTCCCTGCTAGTGAGGCGGCCCCTCCAGATATACCTCCTGTCTGTCGCTCTCCCCAATTTCTTGAGTGAATCGCCTCACTACCTGCCTTGGTTTGGAAGGCAGCGAACTCTTCTTGGGAGGTCCCTGAGGAGCATGAAAGGCCAAAGCAAGCTTACAATCCGCTGATTGGTGCAGGATATCTGGGATAGCATCGATACAGTCTATCCCTGGGCTGAATAGGAAAGAGAGGAAGCAGCTAAGAGATACTGTAGAGTTTTATGAAAGGCTTGCCCTGTACGCCCCTCGGAGATGTAAAGGTAGCTTTTTGAGAGGTAGTACCCCTAGCATACTCTTGTATGTCAATGCAGTTCACTAGTGAGTACACCAGCGCACGCTGGGGGTCACTACACGTGGCAAGCTGCAAACGATGAGTTTGTAAGAGCGATCACCGTCTGGCAATGCAATATGTAGTAGCAATCCGAGTGCAGTTTATGGCAATCATGCAAGGGAAGGCTGCTCATCCGGCTCTAGACGCACCTACAAAGAGACTCTGGGCCTCAGCTTCGAATGGCTGTAGTAGAAAAAGTATCAGCGCGAAAAGCGCTGGTGGAGTCAAACGTTCCATCTGCTTGCCGTTCCTTCTAGGGGCCTCTCTGTGTGGCATTCGCAGCTTTTCCAAAGACACAAGCTCACTTGCCTCAAAAGAGGGATAATATAATCGTAGGGCAGAGGTCTCTTTGCTTCTGTCCTCTTTCGACAGAGCAACCTACGCCCTCCTCACTATGTGCAAAGGGCTAAGGCTCATACCTGTAATAGCAACCTGTTTGACTGCTATTAAGAAAAGAAATCTAAGCACCCAATTTTGTGTACTGAATAGATAGAGGGAAAAACTTAAAGGCAACGCAATTTCAAGACGTTAATGCTACCTATGAGAGGAGGGCGAAGGAACCCGATGTACAATATTTGCTGCCCCCACTGCCCTTGCATCTAAGCAGAAAGAAAAAACCTGTATTATTCCCTTATTTATTTCAGCGGGTAGTTTGCTGGATAAGAAATAATCAAATCTAAATACTCGTGTAGCATTGCTCAGGGGGCTCCGCAGCTGGTTGCTTGTTCACCTGGCCGCAAACCAGCCCTGCCAGTGACATTATCTGTGCACCACCATATGTGTCGTCACACATCGCAGTCACCTACTTATAACAAGAACGTAACATGGTTCTACCTTTTGTGCTGCATTTTCTCCTGCCTATCTTCCTGACATCGCTCACGCATGCACGGGCGGCTGGCAGTAGCGCCGCTCTTGGGGTAGGGAGCGGGTGGTGGTCGGATGACAGCACGCACAGAGCCGCTGCATGCCTTCCAAGCCCTGAAAGCTGCCAGAACATGCATTCCGAAGGAGAACGGGGCCCTAGATGCAGTCCACACCAACCCAGGTTCCTCCTCTTTTCCCTTTTTACCTCCTGTAGATCCTGCTCTTGAAGTGGTACAGAGAGGCGGCTGCTGGCACTGCTTGGCCCCGTGGGACGAAGTGCCGCGAGTCTGATTTATCATGTTTTTTCCCTCCTCCTCGTCGAAATTCAAGGCATTTCGATAGCTGAGGCCCTGTTCTCTGCCTTCTGTCCCCCTCAGCCTGCGCCTCGAGGCCCCGCCTCTCTCCTCGGCCCTAGGAGGAACGATGACTTCGCAGCGGTTTGCGGGTCAATTTCTGCTCCTCTTCTCCGCTCTTCTTTTGTTCGGAACCCTCATTGTATCGTTTAAGATGGAAGCGGCTGAAGTGTCCTGAGTTTCAGGAAAGGGCATGATCAGTGGCGACTTGGGTGTGGAGGGTGTCGAATCGTTTTACGAGACCAGGGCTGGCGAGGAGAATAATGACCTTTCACCGCAGGGGGATGGCATGAGAGGCGAATACTTTGAGGATGAAACTTCAAGCAGGGGTCCGGGGGAGCGCCCTTTGACCACGAAGCATCTGTACACCACAAGGAGAACCATGATGGCTGACTCCAACCGGAATTCACAATTGACAAAGGTTAAGCTTCTCTTTCGCGCTGCGTTGTTGCTGATTGCATCATAGCTAGTATTTTTAGGCAAGTTTCGGTTGGACGATGATGAGGACGTGATGGATTAAGACAATGTGAGAGGGCAGGGAGATTCAGCGCAGAGTATTGCCCGTGCTGAACAGCAATAGGAAGATTTCTTTTGCTTTCACTGTACACGGCAATCTTGTCTGTCTCGATCTGAGTGATTGTACTCCAGCGCAACAGGGAGGCATGGGGAAAGCGGTTTGGCAGATTGCCGCGCTCCTCCTGTGGCCCAGGCAGCACAAGAAAGACTCCCTAAGTGAGGTGCTGGCTGGGAATGTGAAAATGAGGGGGAGAATCAGGATCATAGAAGTGATGACCTGGATTCTTGCATCAAGAAGGAGATGGCGGGGAAGTATGAGGCACAGTGTGAGGGATGGTTGGTTCGTGATGCATGCAGGAGGTTCGAAAAGGGCGGTGCTTTTTGTTCAATGGCCCTTTCTTTTTCGTGTAGCTCTGCACCCACGTTTCCTCTCTGTGTACCTCACATCGTCCGTCTCTATGGCCATGTAGTGCCGGTGCTGTAGCTCTTATCGAGGGGCCCCCCGAATGCGCAGTTCGAGTGCCTTGCTGCCAGGTAGCGAGGCCCACAGTTTGCTAGCGGTGCCTCCAGTAAAGTTACTGGATAAGGGAATCACGAAGTGGATGACATGGGATTATGTATGCCTATGCTTCTACCCACCAGGAGAGTCGTATTGAAGAGGACATATCAGGGCCTGTTCTGCGAACTTTATTGTCGTATCGCAAACTACGCCTACGACTTATCTGAGAGGATGTCGGCTATTTTCGACTCCTCAACGGTGCGCCCTCAATACTAAGGGTCCTCTCCGGGTCAAGAGAACCCCGAATGCTAACTGGCATGAGCACCATTTTTGACGCAAAAAATGCTTCACAGAGATAACATAGGTAGTGTCAGATGACAGTGCACTGCAAACAGGGCGACTTCGATGGCTTTGACATAGTGTCTGGCATTGCCTAGCCGATCTACAAGCCACGGAGCTAGGCGTTTCAAGTAGCAGGGAGCGAACGGCAGGGGCCATGAGGTTCAGGGGGCTGTTTGGTCCTTTCAAAGCCCCCGTCGTTCGCGGAGGCTTCTGGCTAGTCCTTCGCTTGTTTCTTGGTTGTAAACGATTGCTGGTTTGGGACTAAGTGAATAAGAAGGAAATGCATCGGCGAACAGTAGAACTCACAATGGGGGGCGCAAGTAGGGTGAACGGTGTGTTTTCCGCAGTAGACACCAATACATACTTAATGCTCTCCTTTCTGCTGAGCTGCTATAAGTGTAAAGCTTCCATTCATCGGCAATCATAGAGCCTCTGTGACGTCTGGTGAGGCCCATCTAAAGCTCTGAGTGTAAGTCAGCGCAACAAGGAGAGCTCCCAAGTGAAACGGCAACGGTCAGAAGGGCGGGCACAGGGTAAATTCATCAAGCTGCATTCTCTGGTAATCCCTAGATGGAGAGGGTGGAAGCATATCCATATGTTCTGTGAAATAATCTCACATGGAAGTGCAGCTGAAGGAAAAGGAGCCAAGGCTGCAGGGCGTCCTGCTCAAGGCCAGTGCTGTTAAATCCAGTTTTGAAAAGCCACATCTGTTTTTCCCCCATGCTAAAGAGTCGACCTTGTGATGCATTAAGTAGCTCGAACGAATCTCTTCCGTGTATCGGACCAAACTCCACTTAAATCCTTGCACTATGTTCTCTCGAAACAAAGACACAATGTTGTTTGCGTGAGGCTCAGATGCTTTGTGCGCCCAACTGTGAATGACTGGAGTACCTAAACAGTGCAGCGCACAGGGCACCCTAGCTGTGTTCTAACCTCACATCGGGAATTCTGAATGGCTCAGTCACGAAAAAATTCTTTGGAAAGAAATTCCAGAATTACCTACCCAGTGTGTGTTGAGTCGGAAAAGTAAGTGTTTCCCTACAGAGACTCACTGGGACGGTTACACTTGATAGCACCATATGCTTTACATTAGCTCTTTCCCGTCCATTCACTCGTTGGGAAGGGAGTGGGATGTCGATTTCCCTACACAGAGCTCTAGTTTTGATTAAAGTGTTTGCTATCTCAATAAGCTGAATATTCTTGGCAGCAGTCCGCGGGGGAAAGCCCTGTGGTGACGGAAGCATTCGGTTGCGCAACTCCCTTTGGACGACAGAGGCCTTCCTGTAATCTTATTTGAACGCAATAGCTGCACATCTGGTAGGGAGGCATGCTTTATCAGTCCATAAAGTGCTTATGGATGCGTCGTTCAGGCTACGCCAGAAGAGAAAAGTAGGACGGTGGCAAGGATGGACAACTGCTCAAAGATTCCATCAGCCGGTTGGAAATGTATCACGCGCTCTACCCTTCAGGAAAAGGAAAGGAGGGCACCTTGCGGGATTTTATCTTTGAGGGAGAAGCATTTTTATGGTGGCATTATTCATGTGGCGAAAGTTGTTTGTTCGCGCGGATTGAAACAGTTCAACCCTCGTACACAGCCTGACCCATCGGTTTTTGTCGAGAGCCGCTCACCAGCAAGCCTTGGGAGACCTCAGAAAACTGAAGAAGGGGAATCTGTCCATAGGTCGATGTATCGAAAGACGTGCTGCATTGGTCTGCGAAAACCCCAGCGTAGACGCACAGCCGTTTTCTTAGTGGTGTATCTGGAGTTTGCTTGAAGGGTCGTGTCAGGTGGTTGTGGGGTGGGCAGAACCTCAGCGATACAACGAGTGACTGCTTGGGCCTACGGACGGGAAAAACTAATTGCGGTTTCAGGAGCAAATGAGTGCAACTGCTGCGTCTTTGTTCAGCTAATACATAGGCTGCGTGAGTGCAGCTGTTCCTTTTTTTGATGCGGCTTCTTTGCTCCGTCAAGTAACCTGATTCCACTGGGACTAGCCCCCAGAGCTACAGAGGAGATAACCGCAATCGGGGATCCACAGTAAGTCAATTCTGCACTGATGCAAGTTCACATAGACGCTTGAATACTGCTAGCATTAAAAGCAAGTGGATGTAAAGTGTAGCTACTAAATGAGGTGACCACGCAGAACTGCAATCTTCCTGTGCAATCGGTTGGAGAAGTCTAGAAGGCCCGAATTTGTTGACGGGCAGCAGAGCGGAATGCCTGGCAAGGCACTGTAGTTGAATGCTACTCTATATTGGAATTAAATTTTATGTATTAGCATGGGTCAAGTATTGTATGTTGAACCACTGCACCATGACGTAATCCTAGATATGGCATGCGCAACCCAATGAAGGCACGCAGGCTGCCAGTCTCGCACTCTGCGGAGGTTGGTTCACCGGGAGCCGCCTGGACAAAGCAACTTCTAGTTTCGTCAGCAGGGATTATTTTCTCTGTGGTAAGCAGCAGCGGGGCAGAGGCGGTAATTCGACAAAGTTGAGGCATAGTATTCATGCGTACGCCTCAACAGAGCAGCAAGGATGACGGTTCTGAGCATGCAGCCCGTCTGACTGGCTGTGCAGCTGGATCTGTGATAAGGAATGCTTTGTTGGGCGAATGTCAAGGAGACTTTGCAGATGTGTCAAAACTGGCCATATACATGCAGGCTGGCCGCCTGCTGGTCGTCCAACGCCTCGTGCCAAGCAAATCCCGCAGTCGGTCTCAAGCTGTTTCCTGGTACTAAGGGACCTTGAACCATGGGGAGGAGATTAAGCGACGGGCAGATTATTTGTCCAAAGAGGGCCAGCGCTCTTGCGCATAGCGCGGTGTTGGTGCATAAAATGGACGGAATATGAAGCATGAGCTTTACTATCAAGCCCCTGCCCGAAACGTGTGAAACCGAAGCTACTAATGCCCTTGATTGAAGAATTACTCACGAGCACTTCGGTCAAAACCGCTTAGTCGGCATTTGACTTCATAAAAGACTGTTCTACAAATCTAACAGTCAAAAAGCGGCATTCCACATTGGCACTTGTACAACAGAGTATACTCGAACACCCTTTGGACTGGTTAATGCCTCGGCTTAAATGTATGATGAGCCTACACAGGAGGGGTGGATGGCCGCCTACAGGGCCAAGGTCAATTCCTTAAGCCGGAACGTTCAAGAGCACATCCAGCGTCTAAGGCATGGGCTTTAGATGTTAAGGGCAAAGCGGTGGACCTGGAAGGACGCAGGTGCTCCTTGTCAGGAACACGATTGTGTTTCTTGTATTCCGTTTTTTGGCAACAGTAACTGAGCCAGCTGCACCAAAATTTAAGTAGTCAAGGGGTGGCCTTTACCTTCATGCACCTTCTGGAACGTTGCATAGCTTCATGAGCTTGCATCTCATTGCCGAAATTTCTTTTTTGGGATTGCTCGGATTGCTGCCCCTTATAACACCCTACTGAAGAATTAATTAAGGGAGGAAACTGCCGCAGCAAAGACGCGTATCGACCGCCCTATAACTCCTCTTTTGCTTGCGCTGCCCGATTATCAGCTCCGATTCTTCCTAACAACCTATGCGTGTGACGTAGTAGTTGGTGCTACTGTCT